TCCACAAACCACGCTGACCGCCGCTCAGAGATCCCCACTGCAAACCGAGCGTAGTCGCAGTAGAACCCCACATAGTCCAATGAAATGCCGCCCCTGAACTTGTGCCAAGAAAACGGCGTGCCCACAGCCAGCCACAGGAATATGAAGCACCAAATACCTGCATGAACCCCCAGCAGTCCACTTGAGGTCATCTGCAAACAGAAGCTGGTAAGCATGTTCCTGCAACATCGCCCGGCCTGCAAATCTGCCGATGGCCCCAGCCAGCCTGCCAAAGTGCAAAGCGGCGCAAACGTCCCTACTCTGTTGAGCCAGACAGTGTCCTTGTTGGGGTCATCTCCAGGAGTAGGCTTAGCGCGGCAGCCCAAATATCCAAAGTCCGTTTCTCTGCACAAGCATCTACGATGTGCTTTAGCCACATCAGCAGCAACTGTCACCAGCACCCGCTCATCATCCTCACGCGAGGCTTCTTGCACCATTGCCAAACTGGCAGCGGAAGGAAATTCAAGGCGGTCTGCGATCCGTATCGAGTTATTGATTTGTACAGAATGTGTAGCATCAAACAACACTCTGACCTCCCCCGAATCCTTGACAATAGCCCCCAGAGCCGCGATCCTTAGCTTGTCCCCGTACCTCCTGCGTGCCTCAGCTAGTGTCAACGGGAAGACGAAACCCTCCTCCTCCTCGGCTCTGAGCTGCTCTTCGATCTGGCCTGCTGTCTCTTGAGCACTTTTGTAGTTCACCGCTTCCGGCGCAAACTCACTGTCTGCGTAAACCTTGTGGCGTTTCTTTGGCCTGAAAACCTCCCTGGCTCGTGGGAACCTCTCGCCCACACCCACCTTTCTGCCGGTGACGTAGTTGTCCCCCGCATTCTCGGCAAGGATCCTCCAGTCTGGGTCATCCATCTGCTTCAGTGACATAGCCAAAGCATGCAGGAAGAAAGGCTGGAAAGGAGTCTTTACCCCAGCCAGCACTGGGTCAGGGAGCATTCCAAACCAACTGGTTCTGAAGCCGTCAAGAGCACTTTCACTGAAAGGTGATTGTTTCATCCTCCCTGTTGCCAGCAGAAAGAAACTCCTCTGCAAATCCGCCAGGCTCTCACGCACCGCTCTGACCACCAGCTCATGAAGAGCCTCGCAAAAACCGCGTTCATCCAGCGGCATCCCAAATCCTCGCTGCTTGGGTCATCATAGGTAGCCCCAACCAAGAGTTTCCGGATCAGGTCTAGCTTCGGTCTCTTGCAATCTTCTACAGCCAAGCGAGTTTTGTTCATCCTGTGGAGCCCGGCACTGGATCAGACATGTGTTCAAACCTGAACTTCATGGAACATGTTGACACCAGTGCGAGGGGTCCTTAAAATTCATGATGTGAAAATCACATGCAAAAATCAAGGAAAATCAAGCACATGACGAATTTCCTCTTCCGTCATATCAAAGCATACACCGGCTTCGCTGATCACAAAGTCTGTGTACCACATACAAGTGTTATCAGGCAGGAGGCCACCACCTTTTCACACCTCTCATAGAGAGCACTTAGAAAAGGCCTCTACCACCACCCAAAAGGATTAGCGCTCATAAGAACAGTCTCATTGGTCACGCCCAAACCAAGTTGGACAAACAAATCAGGTTTGGAAAAACAAAACATCTCGGCACACACACTTTCGCCGCAAAGTCTGGGTGTGCTAGACCGAAGTGGACCACACTGCGCGCCCGCCACACGCGCACTGCGCTTGCATGCACCGCGCAAGCATCGCGCGCGCATCGCACGTGCGCCGCCCGGATGCGGCATCGCGCGCGCCGTGCGCGCACCGCACGCACACCGCGCGTGCGTCGCACGCGCACCGCGCACACACTGCGCACACCGTACGCGCACCGTACGCGCACCGTACGCGCACCGTACGCGCACCGTACGCGCGCCGCGCGCCAACTGCACGCACGCATCGCGCACTGTACGCGCACCCCACCGTACACATACGGTAGCCCCCTATCATGGAAGGCTCTTTCATGACTCTCGAATTTAGCTAAGTTGTGATGGATGTGCTGCCAGTCGCCGAGGCTGCCGCTCCATGGCAAGGCTTCAGGAGCGAAAATGAATCTGTGTGAAAGGCATGCTGCCGGGTTTCAATATGCATCGAACACGTCTGGATGAAGCTGCGCTCGATGTGTGCATATGCGGATGTCAAAGATTGAATTGTTTGACATCAACTCTCCTCTGTTGCCAGTAGGTTGCAGGAAATGGCGTACTGCACCGTCTGCTGAAGGACAACTTGCGATGTCGCGCTGCACTGCGCGCCAATCATTTGCAAATCCAAGTGCAAGGCAAGCACGCTTTCCTCCACGCATCTTCAAACTGGTTGGTACTGCGTCCGCGCACTTTGGCACAGGGCGGAACGCCTCGGTGAAACAGCTGTTGACCAGCGCCGGCAACTGTTGCTGGTCCTGTACCCGTTGCAGGCATTCCCTGCTTGACTTGAACACCGCAGCCTGCTGTTCAAAAGTGTGAACATTGACCTCCCTGAAGCTTCAACAGTCAAGCAAAGTCGCGCTGCAACGAAACAACTGTGCCTGCGACTGCACCCTTTTGTCACTGCACGAGGTGAAACGTTGTGCCCCAGCATTGCCTCAGCCGAGAACAGCAACAGCCAGCAGTAGCCTGGCAGCGACGCAAGTTCACAAGTGTAGAAGACTGCTGCGCTGCTGAGGTGCCCCAAACTATGTGGCTCCAGCAGCTCCAGCTGGTAACGTGAATCCGTAGCAGTCTGCCCTGACAGCTGGGCGACGGCACAAAGTTGAAAGGCATCGGAACCAAGTGCTGGGCTTGGATTTGCCACGCGACTGCTGAATCTTCATCTCTCACCCAGCGGCCGTCCTGCTCCGGCAAGGGGTGAGCAAATGGGTGTTTTTGAGCTCTCCTCTTGGTGGTGAAGCTTGGAAATGGTCAGCTCAGAGTATGACAACGGTCTCAAGCCAGAACGGACAAAGAGCCAAAGCAAACGGCTTCTGGGCGCACGGCTTCTTTCAGATCATCCACCTGACATCCCCGAGGAGCGTCGAGCAGCATTTCCGAAGGCAAAACAAAGCTGAAGGAGATCCTTTGCAAAGTGGCGCAGCTGAGGCGTAGGCATCTGAAACACTAGCAGTGATGTTGAACGCGCTGCCAATGGTCTCAGGCTCCTTGCCGTCCTTGCAACGCACAAGCACTGCAATCCCCCCTTTGACAGCTTTTTTTGAACATGAACGCAGGGCAGGCAAAACCGCACATGCTGGTAAGGCCCAGGCAGGGCTTCCCAGCTGACAGACCCACACTGCAGCGGATGGTTGCGAGGCAGCACTGCCTTGCAGGCGGCAATCCTATTGGTTTCCACTGGCCCTGAAACTGGATAAGCTCCAAAATCAAGCTTGAACACATCCAACTAGAAAGCAACAGTCCAATCCAAGGGGGAAGTACAAGAACTGGCAAGAAATGATGTGTAGGGCGTTGGTCTGACAGCGCCAGATGAATAATCCAGCGCATGGATTGTAGGGGAAATCTACTTTGAGACATTGTTTGCTTGAAAAGAACATGATCGGTCCAGCTTTGCTTGCAGCTATTCGTTCAAGAGCATGTCTGCTTACAAGCGCGCCATGAAACAAGATGCAAGCCCAATGCAAAACCAAAAGCTTCTGATGCCAGTGGCTTAGAAAGAGTTGGCAAGGGCGCCGTTTTGGCAGGCTTCGTTCCTTGACCCAACACAATATCCTGACACTGCAAAAGGAAAGAAGGGCATCGCAAGAAAACATAGCATGTGGAACCTCACACAACGCTCCCATGCCTTGTGCCGCTTCTAGTGCCGCGGCTGCTTTCTGCTCAGCAATTTCCGCCTTCTCCATTGCCTTGCTCGCCCATTGAAAGTAGACAATGTGCAGCTTGTTGTTCCGGAGCAAGCCCAGAACATTTGTCAGCCTAAGGCGTTGAGCCAGATTTTCTGTCTGGACGTGCAATGCTGCTCGGTTGAAAACGATCGCAAAGCCTGTAGTCTAAGAATCCATTGCGTCCAACCAGACCACTTTGGATCTCAATCTGGAAGAGTTTCATTGCAACAAAGCGGCTGTCGGAACAAGCTTCCACAAGCACCCTCTCAACCTCATCGCACGTAGCACTGACCTTGACTGTGCAGAGTTCCTTGATTTGTTCAGCAAAGTTTCTGAAAGAACCATTGTAGACTGTGTCAACTTCGGCTTGCTGCTCTCCGACACCCGTTTTTGTCATTGCATCCCCCACGTGGTCAGAGACAGTTGTTCGCAGGAAATCTGCAACGGCAGCCTTGCATGTCTCCAAGCGATTTCGTTCCTGCGCTTCTTGATTCTGGACTGCACGGAGTGTCCGAGGACCACTACTGTAAAAAATGCTGGATATCATACCTTCATAGTTCCTACCGCTGACCTGACTGACGCTTGAGAAGGGCTTGGGGTTTCCGCGCTCATCAAGTAAACAATATGTTGGGTCAAGCGCTCGTGTCTGTCCTGGTTCTGCTGTGGGATGGCTGTGTAATGTGTAACGCTGCGCAGATTGCACAGGTTGCTGCGCAAACTGCACAGGCTGCGCAAACGGCCAAGAAGGTGCTGCTGAATGCCAAGGTTGCGCAAATTGCGCAGGAGGGCCAAAATGCAAGGGCTGCGAATACTGCCCTGACGGACCATAATACAGCATCTCAGGTTGTGATGGATGTGCTGCCAATCGCCGAGGCTGCCAGTCCATGGCAAGGCTTCAGGTATAGAAAATGAATCTGTGTGAAAGGCATGCTGCCGGGTTTCAATATGCATCGAACGCGTCTGGATGAAGCTGCGCTCGATGTGTGCATATGCAGATGTCAAAGATTGAATTGTTTGACATCAACTCTCCTCTGTTGCCAGTAGGTTGCAGGAAATGGCGTACTGCACCGTCTGCTGAAGGACAACTTGCGATGTCGCGCTGCGTTGCGCGCCAATCATTTGCAAATCCAAGTGCAAGGCAAGCACGCTTTCCTCCACGCATCTTCAAACTGGTTGGTACTGCGTCCGCGCACTTTGGCACAGGGCGGAACGCCTCGGTGAAACAGCTGTTGACCAGCGCTGGCAACTGTTGCTGGTCCTGTACCCGTTGCAGGCATTCCCTGCTTGACTTGAACACCGCAGCCTGCTGTTCAAAAGTGTGAACATTGACCTCCCTCAAGCTTCAACAGTCAAGCAAAGTCGCGCTGCAACGAAACAACTGTGCCTGCGACTGCACCCTTTTGTCACTGCACGAGGTGAAACGTTGTGCCCCAGCATTGCCTCAGCCGAGAACAGCAACAGCCAACAGTAGCCTGGCAACGATGCAAGTGCACAAGTGTAGAAGACTGCTGCGCTGCTGAGGTGCCTCAAACTATGCGGCTCCAGCAGCTCCAGCTGGTAACGTGAATCCGTAGCAGTCTGCCCTGACAGCTGGGCAACGGCGCAACCCTAAGTTGAAAGGCATCGGAACCAAGCGCGAGGCTCATCTGTGTCGCGCAAACTTGCTGACATCCTTGCTTCTTTGACCCAGCGGCCGTCCTGCAAAGTCCAGCTGAGAGACGGCAAGGGGGTGGGGTATGGGGAATGGAACAAATGGGGGTGCGCTTTGACATGCAAAGCTCTCCTTCCGGCTGAAAATGGCAATCTTGGACGCTTGAAACGCGGACAAGGAAGGATCGATTGCCTGCGGTGATGTCAGCAAGGGCTCACTGGACTGATCAAAGGGGTTGCACTATTAGAGTAAACAGCCCACATATGCGCAAGTTCGAAGCGCAAGGCCTTCTTCAAGTCATCCACCTGACATCCCCGCGAAGCATGAAGCGGCATTTCCGAAGGCAAAACAAAGCTGAGGTGATCCTTCGCAAAGTGGCGCAGCTGAGGTCGCTGCGTTTGCCAAGACACCTTTGACCTGAAACGCATTGCCAATGAACTCCTCGCCGTCCTCGCAACGCACAAGCACTGCAATCCGGTTCAGTCGACCCTTTGACAGCTTTTTTTGAACATGAACGCAGGGCAGGCAAAACCGCACATGCTGGTAAGGCCCAGGCAGGGCTTCCCAGCTGACAGACCCACACCGCAGCGGATGGTTGCGAGGCAGCACTGCCTTGCAGGCGGCAATCCTATTGGTTTCCACTGGCCCTGAAACTGGATAAGCTCCAAAATCAAGCTTGAACACATCCAACTAGAAAGCAACAGTCCAATCCAAGGGGGAAGTACAAGAACTGGCAAGAAATGATGTGTAGGTTGGTCTGACAGCGCCAAATGAATGATCCAGCGCATGGATTGTAGGGGAAATCTACTTTGAGCTTTGAGACACTATTTGCTTGAAAAGAACATGATCGGCCCAGCTTTGCTTGCAGCTATTCAAGGGCAACCTACCCGGCAGTGGTCCACAAAACAAAAGTGAGGAAAGCAACGCTTGAGGACCGCTGCAAATCCCATTTGCTTTGCAAATTGGGGTGCGGCAATTGAAAGAGAGACCATACGAGAAGGAAACCAAACACAGACATGCATGCATTTCTTGCAGATTCTTAGTCCTTGCGAGGTTAACAGGTCCAAACTGAGTCGGTGCAATGCCTCGCATGGAGCCAAAAAACGTGTTCAGCACATTGCTTCCAAGCTGCTGGGCTCACATGCCTGAAGTTCAACCTTGATACAGTTGCGCAGGTAGATTGTGGCCGGGATGAGCACCTGTTTCGTGCTTCTGTTGCTGAACATGTCATCCCTCAAGTCTTGGTCCAAAAAGGTGGTCGTCTCTCTGTTGATGACGCCGCCGAAGTTCTTCTTGGCGATGATGCGGGCGCCCTTCTGGCTCTCCGTCTCCCCGTCTGCGCTGCCTTCCTCGATGGGGGACCACCCCTGTCGCGCAAGGTTCTCCAAGTGTTCCCGGGTGAGCGGGTCTTTGGCCAAACCAGCCAGCCCGTCTGTACCTCGGACGCTGAAGGGGTCGAAGGAGTCTTCTGCACCACGCTCGAACTGCTCAAGAAGCTTATCGATTGCCTGCTGGCAGAGAAGTATGTTGCCGCCGAAGATCATGTAGAACTCCTGGCAACGCGAGTGAAACAAACTCTGGCATCGACCTCGAACATCCGTTGTTTTTTGGTACGTGCGTGTTTGTATTGCCGTTCGTGTCAGAACTAACTTGTGATGCGCACACGCAAGCAAGCCTACGTTAACCAAAAACCCCAAGAACGCTCCTCCGCCACATCCCGAGGCAAACCCCACTCTGTCAGCAAAGCCAGCATTGGCTCCCTTTCAACCTCCGGAATCACGATTGTCTGAAGGGCATCGAACTTGTTGAAACCAAGTGTTTGTAGGCCCCATGGGAAGGCGAAATCGGAGGCAGGCAAGATGACGCAAGCCTTGCAGCTTTCCTTTGTCATTGCCACAAAGGTGGCAAGGGCCCGTGAGGCTGCTTCCCTCTTGGATTTGCTGTCTCCATTGCCATTCGTGTTCGGAAAAGCAATGTTGGCTTCGTCGATGATCATTGTCGGGATCTGTTTCATTGAAACTGCCGCATCAACAAAAGCCCAGAGAAACTCTTGCGGCTTGGGCACATTCAGCAATTCGGAAAAAGCAAGTTCCACTCCACCCTCCGCATCACCCTTCTTCAAGCTCTCCTTGCCAACTACTCGAGCAAGGGAAATCATGACGCCAGCCACTGTCCCCGCCCAAGGGGGCACATACTTTGCACTCCAGAGATCTTTGGCTTTGGCTTGAAGGCATTCCAAAGCATCCGTTGACTCGGGCTGGGGTGGGTGGCGCATGTTGACGTAGAGCAACGGGGAGTAAGCGGCGACAACTTGATCCATCTTTTGCATAATCTTGGTCTTGCCAAGGGACTTGCCTCCAATGACAAGGTACAAGCCCGGTTTTTGCATAGCCTGACCAGGGTTTTGCGAGAAGGTCACCACCAAACAACACAAGCTTACTTTGTACTCAGCAAAAACAAGGAGCTCAGGCCTTCTGCAGTGCTTTGATGAAGCCAGTTCGTCCAGCGATCTGGTCGCTCTTTTTGTAAGACTCTGCTGCCGCGCTGACCCCTTGCAAGTATTCCATGTCACTGATGCCCTTGTCTTGGGCAACTTCATGCATGCGCTTTGGGATGTTGAAGGTCACGCCGTGGAAGCCGAAGACCAAGAGGAAAGGCAAAGCGACCGCAAGGCGCCTGTAGCGAGCTGAGGCGCTGCGTTTGCAAGCCATGATCCTGGGCAATTGCAATTGTTTTTCTGGTGCATATCAAAACCTGAGGTGCGGATGGCTGATGCTTCCGGAACTGCCTTCAACATTCCATAGATCTGAACTGTTCTCTTGTTCTCAACTTGAGCCAACGGCGGAGAAACGCTGATCACTCCATTTTATTCAATCCGCATTCTGCTTCCCAGACCCCAGGACCAGGCCGCAACTAGCCATAAAATCGAAACAGGACCAGTCCCCAAGGCAAACCCCCCGCCAAAAGGCCACCAGTCTTTGGATGCACTTTTGCCCGCTAAGCGAAAGCCCAGCCGAGGGAAACTTTAAAGACAAAGCTGTGGACGCAATGAGGAAGGTCTTATCTTACGTTAGAGGAAAGCAACTACCTGGCTTTATAGAGGAAGTCAGCAGCAAGATATGCCACGCAACAAGCACGAATAGCCTGGCAAATGGATTGCACAGTTCGTTCTGCATTGCAAGAAAATGCGAGCAAGAACGGGAAGGACGCACGACACGCAAGAAGTTCGGAGACACCGCCCAAAAATGCGAAACATGAAAACCCGCAAGCGGCCCACGCTTGCTGGGAGCTGGCACCTTGACGAGGCCCTGCCCCAAACCCCCGGCAGTCCCAAAACGCATGCCCGCTCCCGCAACTAATTCTCGCCCCCGAAGCGCTCCCAAGACTTTCCCAAACGTACCCTGCTTAGTGAAGCCCTGCACCAAACCCATTCGATGAGCCTCCTTCCTCCATGAAAACTCGTGAATATGAACCTGCTGGAACTTCAAGGTCAACCAGCGAAGCAAGATGACCTGTCAGGACACAAAGCTGACTGACTCGGACATAAGTTGACGGCATGTGGCTTGCACAGCTTGATGAGACGCTGCCCCAAACTCGCTTGATGCTTCCCTGCCCCAACCCACAGCACCCTGCTTGATGCGTTGCTGCCCCACATTTCATTTCTTACTCCTTCTGTTGGCGCTTGTTCGGCACCCTGCCCGTTCAGCACACCGCGCTTGCTCAGCCCCGCTTCTCAAAAACAATAATCACTCCCCTGCCAGCTGCCGCTCCTGCAACATCAGCCCCAAGACGTAGCAGCAGCTGGCAGGTCTCAAAAAAATGTTAAAAAATAGCGTGATGTGTAAGCAGCGACAACGAGGTCCAACCTCTCGCCGATGCACTCGTCGATCCGTTACAAGGGGCACGGCTCAGGACACCTGCAAAACTTGGGGGAGCCTTGGGAAGAAGGACCTGGCACAAACTCAATGATGGGACGCGGGCCCTGGCATGTGGACGACAGCATAATGAAACCGGGAAGGATCTTGAAAAACCCAGGTTGCCTGAACACCTGCACACACCTGCCCAGTTCCAACAACAGCAATCTTGGGGACAGCACCACCAGCATTGTCCAGCCAAAAAATTTCGTGCTGTTTCCCGGACACGCGCTCACTGTTGCCAATCTAGAACAAAAACAAATATATTCCGCGTTTCAAAGGGGAGGCAAAAAGGGCTTTCCAAATGCGCCTTGTTGCGCTTGCAACTGCACCTGCGCTTGCCGCAGCGCCAAACCAAAAACATGGAGCTCCTACCAAATGCATCGTCAGCCTCAGCCTCTGCGGCAGCTCTTACATGACAAATGTCAACTCACGCATCTGTGCACAAATCTGTGAAAATATGGCACATGCAAATCGAAGAAAAAAAACGCTAAAAACTGAAACGTCACCACAGCTCGCCCCCACCATGACAGCGGAGAGCCCAAAAGCGCACTCCGAGGCTCCTTGGCAGCTATGAATCAACCGCGCATTGCAAACAAAAACCTGGGCCACATGCTTCTGCCCTTTTGTTCCGCAGCGCGCGCTCCTGGCACCCCGGCAACTCCTGCACAATCGGCAAACCGGCCCCAGCATCACCTCCTGCAACCTCGCGCCGCTGGAAACCTGTCCGCGGGAAAAAAACATGAAGAAAAACAAAAAAGCGTCCATGGCAACCGCTCGGCACCATGGACCTGCTTAACCCAATTTATTGACCAGTGCCCTGCGTCGTTCGTGAACACACCGCCGCGCTCTGTCATGTTCAGCCGAAGCAGCACCGGCACCTCGGGCGCGAGAGGGCTCGGGAGATCCCGCGAGCTTCTTGCCTCGATCAGCACCGTTCGGTCGGGCGCCTCTATGGAGACCTGTCCATCCACAAAGCTCACTTGAGCCCACGGAAAGTGCATCTGGAACTCCTCCGCGAGCCTGTTGACAAACTGCCTTTATTCCAGGCTCTGTCTGCCATGATTCTTTTAGGCAGTTGGAAAGCTGCTCTTGCTCCTTATTTTCTTCCAAGGTAACAGCGGGCGGGCACTCGAGGACCCTGCATACGCAGGTCCGTCGCTCATCATCCAGAAAGTTAAGGCATGTTGCACTGCTCCTAGCTTGAACCCAAGCATGAACACCCAAAAGAACAAAGCAAGTCCGAAGCGGCCGCAGTTCTTTTTACCGGGATTGCTGAAAGTAGCACTGCTTCCAGGGCACTGGTGCGCCTGGAACAGGAGGTGCGTTGACCCCCCGTGAAACTAAAAAGGCAAGACAATGCGTGTCCTTGCAAATGAATGCAGTGCTTGCAGGGCGTGGCATGCGTGCCCACGCCCAACGGTCCGGAGACCGAATGGTCCGGAGACCAGAGTTGGTCCGGAGACCTGGTCCGGAGACCAAGCGGTCCGGAGACCACCAACGAAAGTGCAGAGCGTCTGCGACCTATGCTTGCAGAGCCTTGTATAAGGCAGTGCAGGGTGGGTGGGTGGGTTTCAAATGAAACCGCAGGTTTGGGTCAAGGCTAGGAGCAAAACGGCCACCGCGTAGTTCGATTCACAACATGCCCTAAACACAAGGGAAAAGAAACCCTAAGCGTTAAGGCATGTTGCACTGCTCCTAGCTTGAACCCAAACATGAACCCCCAAAAGAACAAAGCAAGTCCGAAGCGGCCGCAGTTCTTTTTACCGGGATTGCTGAAAGTAGCACTGCTTCCAGGGCACTGGTGCGCCTGGAACAGGAGGTGCGTTGACCCCCCCTTCAGTGTTTCAGGCAACCCCGGTATAAGCGAGCCAGCTGGGCCGCCGGCCTCATCGCCCGCCCTTCAGAGTGGGGTTGTACCTGGCAGGGCAAATGTCCGCGTGACAATGCACGCTTGCGGCTAAGCCTGTTGCTCAGGGTCTGCACTTTTTTGCTGACGCAGCCAGTTGTTCTGGTTGCCAGGGCGAAGACGGCCATTTGGTCGCAATGCATGTTGGGATGCAAATAAGGCTTGGCTAAGCAGTGCTGGAGGCAACTGCCAGGTGTTCCGGGCGCCAGGGCGCATCCATCGCATCGGACACAGCTGAATGCCTCGGCCTGACATTGCTAGGCCCGCAGGGCTGAAGCGTATGCGACTTTCAGGGCGATGGCTGAATCGGGCCAACCGACCTCTGCTGAGATCGTCTGCCCAATCATTGCACCTTCCTGGAACGTGCGTCGGCCGCAGCAGCACATTGTGAGCGTGAGCCCAGAAGGCTGTTAACTGCACGAAAAGTTGCAACGGCCAGGAGGTCGTGAACAACTTGTTAAGGCTTGCTTCCGTTGCGGAATTGTCAGTGCCTGAAGGCATGCTGAACGAGTAGTGCCCACCACCAATGTGGCTGTGGGTTGCCTGCAGTAGCGCTAACTGCGCCAGCGTCTCGAAACATGCGACGCGCCGCTGTCCAGGCTTGACAAGGCAAGGCCACACGGACCGTGTGTCCCGCATGTTCCAGGTTTCGGCAAACCAAACCACTTGAGAAGAGGTGATTGCCCAGCCCCCTATCCCTAAGTCGTCTTCGGCACACGCATCCGCGGCAGCCAGTGCTTGCAGCTGGTGTGGCCGCGCCAAGGGCTGAACGGGCGAGTGCTGAAAGCACAACGCCAGCCATGTAAGGCATTGCTGGCTTGACTTGGAAAGGCTAGTATATGGGTTATTTGGGTCCGCGATGCTTATTCCCTTTCAAGGAAAGCGCTCGCAGCATCCGCATCTCAAGCAAACTCGTTACAAACTTCGACCGGTACAAACATGTGAGGTTAGGGAAAACTGATCCTCAAAACCTCATTATTACCAGGCGAAGAAATGCAAATAGAGTATGCCATCATATATAAGGCAACTATAAAAAAAATATATCACATCATTCTGATCTCATATTTGCAAATGGGGCAAGCTCCTGGTCCGCCGTGCACAACGGCTGGGATAGGCTAAGCATGCTCGAAAAACGGGCGGGAGCGGAGCGGGGTGGGAACTCAAAAAGACCGCGTTGGTCACCCTCCCTCCCACCCTGAGCCAAAGCCGGGTGTCACACAAAATCTCACGTTGCACAATGTGTGTGTTCAAACTGAAGGACAACGTTTGCAAGCTGAAGTGCGAACTAAACACTCAAGTGTTTTTCCTTTTATTGGAATAAGGAGATGATCCCTGCGGGAGTCACCACTTATTCCCTTTCAAGGAAAGCGCTCGCAGCATCCGCATCTCAAGCAAACTCGTTACAAACTTCGACCGGTACAAACATGTGAGGTTAGGGAAAACTGATCCTCAAAACCTCATTATTACCAGGCGAAGAAATGCAAATAGAGTATGCCATCATATATAAGGCAACTATAAAAAAAATATATCACATCATTCTGATCTCATATTTGCAAATGGGGCAAGCTCCTGGTCCGCCGTGCACCCCACATGGAAACACCAGGCAGCTCCGCCCCCCCCACAACTGACAAAGGAAGAGCACGCACTTCCCTGTGGAATGCGTCTTTTCTCTTTTCAGTTGCTACGCAAATAGATCCTGAATGATGTGAAACGGAGCAGCAATCTGCTCAGCGCCCTTTCGTTGGATTTCTGAAAAAGCCAACCTGGAAGGATCATCTGCTATGTTGCTAGATGTTGGCACTCTCGCAAACCACGGCCGGAAACCTATCTTGGCTTCCCAAGATGTGTAAGCGGCCACCATGGTATTGGAGATATGTGTGCCGGCACAGGCCGCTACATATGCGTGTTGGGCCGCCTCATT